ACGCCGCTAGCAATACGGAACGCGTAGACCGAGTTCGGATTCGATGTGGGGGTAACTTCACGTTTAGCCAGGAAATGCTCGCAACGACCCTCGACGGAACCGATATTTTACTTGGGCGTGATTGGCTGCGACGACACAATCCGCGAATCGACTGGACGACGGGTGACTGCACCGTGCGAGTGAACGGTAACAACATCGCCCTACCTCGCTGGGGCTCGCCTGAGTCTTCGTCGGTGCGTGTCAACGCGATCACGATGAAACGCGCCGTAGCGGCAGGAGCTGACGTGTACGCGGTCGACATTCGGGAAGCCGAGGCAGCAGACAAAGGAGGGGATTTACAGAAACTGCTGGCCGACGTACCGAGTGACCTGGCAGCACTGTTGAAGCAGTACAGCGACATTTTCCCGGACGATTTACCGACGGGACTGCCACCTCAGCGACCGCACGACCACAGGATAGAGTTAGAACTGGGGGCACAGCCAACAGTACAGCGACAGTTCCGACTGACCCAGCCCGAACTGGACGAACTGAGGAAGCAGCTCGATTACCTGCTCGAGAAGGAATTCATTCGCCCTAGTTCGTCGCCTTTCGCAGCACCGATACTGTTCACACCGAAAAAAGACGGGGGATTTCGCATGTGCATAGACTACAGGGCACTGAACAGGGTTACCATCAAATCCCGTTACCCCATCCCACGAGCCGACGAACTGATCGACCAACTGCGCACAGCCCGGGTTTTCTCGAAAATCGACCTCCGAGGGGGATACCACCAGATTCGCGTCAACCCGCCCGACTGCCCTAAGACCGCATTTCGCACACGCTACGGATCCTTCGAATACACCGTCATGCCCTTCGGACTGACCAACGCCCCCGCCACTTTTCAAATGACCATGAACGAAGCCTTCCGCCCGCTCTTATATAAATGCGTCATAGTATACCTAGACGACATACTGATTTACAGCCCTGACAGAACACAGCACTTACAGGACATCGAAGCAGTTTTTAAAGTACTGAGTGAGAACCGCCTACTGACAAAAGCATCTAAATGTGAATTTTTACAGGACCGCCTGGAGTTTTTGGGACACATTATTTCAGCTGCAGGAGTGGAAATAGACCCGAAGAAAATTGCGACGATTCACGCGTGGCACGCGCCGACCAACTTGACCGAGTTGCAGAGTTTTTTGGGGTTCGTCAACTACGTGCGCCGGTTCGTCCCCGACATGGCGAAGCTGACTGCCCCGCTGACCGACCTGCTGAGGAAGGGGGTTGAGTACACGTGGGGGGAGAAAGAGCAAGCTGCCTTCTCGGCCCTCAAAAACATTTTGTGCTCACCGCCCGTGCTTCACATCGCCGATCCACACCGTCCGTTCGAGCTCGTCACTGACGCAAGTGACATCGCTGTGGGAGCAGTACTGTTGCAGGATTTCGGGAACGGCCTCCAGCCAATCGCGTACGAGTCCCGCAAGCTGCACCCGCCCGAACGCAATTACCCGATACACGACCGCGAAATGTTCAAGGTTTGGCGGTGTTATCTGACTGGCGCCGACGTGACAGTACGGACAGACCACCGATCACTACAGTACCTACGCACCCAACCAAATCTCAATCCGCGACAGATTCGCTGGTTGGAGTACCTCGAGTCCAACTTCCACTACACGGTTACGTACAAGAAAGGCGCATCCAACATCGCCGACGCACTCACCCGCCCTACCGCCCAACTCCACGCCATTCTACTCGCCTAGACCAACCCGCTTTTAACAGGCCTATTCACCCACGGATACCGCACCGACCCATTTTTCACGGCTGGAAACTCACAGCAACTGGCAGAAGCTAAAGGAATATATTACGTAAAAACAGGCACCAACCGCATCTGGGTACCCGCGTACTCACTACTGAGGGAGCTGCTACTGCAGGAGGCACATGACGGAATTACCTCGGGACATTTTGGGGTAGAAAAAACGCGACAGCAACTGCAGCGGTATTACTACTGGCCGGAGCTGTTGACCGACGTACAGCAGCACGTGGGCTCGTGCCCCACATGTCAGGTGATGAAAAGCTCGAGGAAGCGGAAGGCGGGTCAATTGCAGCCGATACCACCGCCCGAGCGCGCCTGGTAGCAGGTTACCATGGACTTCGTCACAGGGTTACCTTCGAACCCTGGGGGTAACGACGCGGTGATGGTCGTCGTTGACAGGTTGACGAAGATGGCACACTTCGCTGCGTGCAAAAAGTCGATCTCAGCTGAGGAGACCGCTCGTCTGTTCATCGCAGCCGTTGTTCGCCTGCACGGGATACCAGCAGCGATTATCAGCGACAGGGACACGAAGTTTACCAGCAACTTCTGGAAGAATCTCTGGGAGCAGTTCGGGACCAGGCTACAGTTCAGTTCGTCGTACCACCCCGATACCGACGGTCAAACGGAGCGGACGAATCAGAAGATGGAGCAGTTGATTCGTGCCACGTGCGACGACCCCACGACTTGGGAGCAGCAGCTGCCACTGATCGAGTTTGCGTACAACAATGCCACGTCAGCGACGGCGCAGCAGTCCTCCTTCTACCTGAACTACGGGCAAAACCCTACAGTGCCCATGATGCCGAGTCCGGACAACCCAACACCACGTGCACAGCAATTCGCCGAAATTCTGCAAGCTGCCCGCACCAGAGCCGCAGAAGCAATTAAAAAAGCAAACGTCATCGCTAAGCGCAACGCTGACCGCCACCGCCGCCCAGTCACATACCAGTCAGGGGATTACGTACTGCTCGACACGCAAAATCTGCGACTGCCCGACGTCCCAAAACTTCGACCGCGCTACTGTGGCCCATTCCAAGTCAGCCACATGATCACGCCAGTAACCGCACACCTACTGTTACCGACCGACTGGTACATCAGCCCTTCGTTCCACGTCAGCTTGCTTCGCCCATACATCCCAACCACAAGCCAACTGCCTCGCCACCGCCCGCCATCCATGACTCGCCCTGCATCGGAGCCGATCATCGCGCCCGAAATATTCCTGAGCCATCGGATCCGACACCCCACGGGAATCAAGAGGATTGAATTCCTCGTTCGCTGGAAGGATCGCACGCCAACTGAGGACAGCTGGGTGCCCCTGGCCAAAATCGAAAACCACCCTGCCCTGCAAGTGTACCTGAGGAGCCGGGGCTTCCGCGATATACACGCACTCGCGTAGCGGAGGGGGCTTCTTGAGGGGGGGGGGTAGTGTAAGGAATTTTCTCGATATTCCTTAGCGCACCCTGCAACATCGCGTACAGCAGCAGCCGTTGTTCGCCCGTTACTGCTAACGGGGCTTCGCCGACTTCGCGCGCACTGTTTCACCAAACCTCGCACTGCTGGCCTGGCCGTGTCGGCCTACGCTTCGGGACTAGCCCGAGCCTCGCTTCCAGCGTAGCACTAGCTAGCTCGCACGCACCGCGTTACCGTTTGCATGTTTCGCGTATAAATGTTCGCTCATGCCTTCGCTCACATTATATACTCGTTTGACACCTTAGTGCAATTCTCGCTACTTCGATTCATTGCACCCGTAACAGTACTAGCGGAGTGACTGTCCTCGTTATCCCGAAATAGCCATAGTTACAATGAACCATAGAACCACTTTTCAGTGTGGTAACACAAAATGTCTCGACAGATATCAGTGGCGATATATAAAAAAGGTGGGATATTTTTTCCGACTCTTCGGCTCATTCTGTCTTCTGGTTTCCGTCTTCGACAGTGCTTTTTTTCGTGTTACACACCGGAATGTAAAGTATATCTCCTTATCGTAACATTGATGACGAACTAGGACGTCAATAACAGAAAATGGATGTGAGTGATGGATGATGATAAATTCAACATGACACGAGCGTGTTTATGTTGTAACAAGCATATATTGTAATCATGTTTTCTGCACCCGTTTGAAGGGGTTGGCTTGTAGCGCTGTTCGATATGACAAGAACACTAGATATCCCGCGAAACACCTGCGCTTCGTCTTGATTACATCCTGCGATTCGAATTCCTTCAGTGCTGCCCTCACTCGGAGAAAGAGCCCAACACCTTCCTGGTCAAGCGGGAGCGAGTTTCACGGATCACATCGATCGAGCATACCGGAACTGTCCCTAACCGTAGCTTATCCAGCCTCGCCACGTTGCATGTATCTTCAACCGATGATCCCCCCCCCCCTTTCGCGCCCAAGCAAGCAATCCCCTCCACACGTGCAGCTGGCGAAACTGGTGAGCTGGGGCGTCAAGATCCATGATCAGGAGTTTGTGGTAGCAGGGCAAATGATTTTAGAAAAATCAGAGTCATGTTTTCTAAGGCGCGATAAATATATGAGTGGTACATGCGTACCATCTCGGGGATCGTGCCCTAGTGTAAACAGGCGTTTTATGAGTCCTGCCCGGGCTGGTCGCCTTTCCTTTTCACTTGCATTCACAAGCCCCGCCCGACCCCACCTTCCTAGTTTTGACATGTTGGTCAGCCACCCGCATGTACTAGTCCTAGTACCCCCAAACTATTGTAGAGGGAAGCTTTCGCCTACATCTCGATCAGGGTTTGGGCACAAACCCTGGCCATTCAGGGTTACGTGTGCATAATCTCTGGTTTCGTCCAGGTAGTTAGCGACAGCCAAATTCCATGTTTGCTTTCGCTGTGATGTTGTACATTTCTGGAACAAGAGTCTGGCCAAATTCCTCCACAGGCAAGACAAACACCCACATTTCCTAATCGGAAGGAAAACAACCCCCCAGCAGCCATCTCCTCATGAGAGAAACAGATCCACCTGCACATTTTCGAGCAGAAGTCGTGCTTTGAGTGAGGCCACATTGCAGTAGCAACTATCTCAGCAGTCGTCTTCGAGCGGAGTCAGAAATCCTTTTCACCATCGCCCAAGTTTCGAACCCTAAAAACTCAAGCGGTACCACCACCACCACCAGTAGCTCGATCACCACGAACCACGAACCACAAACCGCCTGGGCCCCTCGATATCTTGCATCGGACCCCCCCTGCAATGGCCCCATCGTTCTCGTCGCTTCGTCGCACGCTCTGCGTCGCATTGCTGCTCGCGGTGCAGCTCTTTGCGACGGAAGTCGTCGCAACCAGCACGGTCGTGGTCATGGTACGCCCGTTCTCGAGTTGGTGCAGAATACCCCGTTACTCTGACCCGTGGGTAGTGACAATCTTAGCAGGAATATTGGTAGTACTGGTAGTAGTGCTACAATTAGCATTGGGATTATCGCTCGAGTCGGCGCGGTGCAAATGTGCTGCTCGTTTAGCAGGGTGTCTCCCACTGGCAACCGTCCTCAATCTGTCGGCGACGTCGGTTACGTGCGGGTCGGCGTGTAATAATGGTGTCAAGCCCGGATGCGAGATTGTGCCTGGTTGAGTTATGCTATCGTTGCATTTCGACACGCATTTGAAAAAGGAAAAGACTTTTGTTTAGATGTTCCTATGAAGCCAGCCGATTATCGGGGTTTACCACTTTTTACCGTTGAAGGAAAATCGATTACTTGCTTTTCCCCCGTCCGTTTTGCCTGATCCCCTTTTATTCCTCCCCACAGCGCGCGACTGACACCGTGAACACTCTCTGCGTCGGCCGTCGCCAGCCCAAGCTCGGCATCGCAGCGCTCGCAGCGTTCGCACAGTCTGTCGCGGATAGCACGGACATGGGCGCGGTCTTCGAGAGCAAGAGCGACATGCCCTCCTATTTCTACGTTGGCAACTCGGATAAGCTCAAGCGCCTTCACCGCTGCGCCAATTCTCTCGTCTACTATTCTTACGCTCCGCCCGACTCTGCCGGCGCTCGAGGATCCTTTGCGCGCATTTCCGCGCTCCCGCTGGTGGTGGCGCAGTCCGCCTTCATCTTTTCGATTTCTCCCGCTGCGCTCGACAATTCTGACGTGGAAGTGATGGTCGTCAACGATTCCCCGCGCCCGCTGACGGTTACTGGGCCGATTGCCGGCGAAATTCAGGCCACAGAAGGGACGGTGTCAGCTACAGACACGCTGGTAAGTAGGGCCGCGTGGCGTGATATTCCAATACGGGGTGGTTGAGAAGCGGGGAGGGGGAGCGAGAGCTAGTCACGAGATTCACTCCCGATTTGGGCGTTTCCGAGTGAGCAGAGAGAATGTGACTTCCTACTTCTTATCCTCCGTCGTTTGGCCGTGACGTTCACCTGTCTTGCCCGATCCTTGATTTCCCCATCCCCGAATTTCAGAATGTGGATTCGCAGATCCCGCAGGTGGTGTCGGACTACCTGGTAACTGTCGCCTTGTCGCAGAGCAAGAAGCTGCGAGGAACCATCATCGTGTCATCCTCGCCCAGCAGCAACCCCGATGGCACCCTCTACACGGCCACATACATCATCTACAAGCCGTTCCCCTACAGCGACGGCGGTATCTGCACCACTGACGCTGACATTCCCTGCTTCACCTTCTCCTACCAGACCGCCACGTTCTTTGAACCAGCTGCAGATGCTGCATCAGCAGCAGTGGCTGACGGTGGGGATCCGGGCCAGCAGCAGGCGCCGCCAAGGGCTATGCTGGAAACTGGGGGGTCTGCTAGTGATGGTGTGCAGAATGCTGCTCTTGCTGCCGGCGCTGGTCACAGGAAGCTGGGGCGGGTTCTGATTTCGGATATTGGATATGCAATGGCAAGTGATCGCGTGGTTGCTTCTGCTAGCGCAGTCAATCGCTGTTACTACCTGGGAGGCAAGCTTGTCTGCAGTACCTCCTAGGAAGAAAGTCATTCTGGTAACATGTTGTGTATTAAGTGTTTTGTAAACCCACATTGTTGTATTGTATATGTATTGGAGATAATTTTGTGCTTTCTTCGTTTATTAGTTCGGGTGTACTACTATCCCATGCAGTTCATCATGCCAAAGAACTGGCTTGGCCGGCGTATCTGAGGTACAGTACTGTATCTGTCAAGGAAACACCAGCTGCGAATCTGCGATTCGAGCTCAGAAAGAGCGCTGCCAGCTGGATGGGCATGGTTGGACAATGGGTGCCCTTCCCATTACAGCTAATGCCCGTTAGAGCCCTTCCCGGTTGCCTTGTGAAGGGGGTCTGTAAGCTAAATCAGCATTTCGCGTGGGGTTCGTACGTTTCGTTAGGCTTTATGCGTGCTTCAAAGCTGAACATGGTAACCACACGATTTGTCCGATTCGCAACAGTAATGGTTGGCCCTATTTGTCCCTGATGTGTGTTACAGGTTACTCGACGACTGTGAGAACAATGAAACACGCAGCCTCATCAAATGTCCCTCTTAGTTCAAAACAACCAAAACACCAATCACAACCAATCAGCTTCTCCCACATGGCCCCCAGCTCCAATCCACACAAACATCGACCCACGCACAAATGGGCACAAGGAGTGAACACTTGTGCCCAGCAAGGTGCCTTCGACACCTTGCATGGTGTGTGCCACTCCATACTCCTCGCCTCAAAACACGCCGAATCCCCACTCGAGCTGACAGCTCCTGCCACTGGCGTTGCACCTCCTTCCGATTCCGCCGTTCTTGAATCAGCTTTAGCCTCGCGCGCTTTTTCGGCGCTACTGACGCATTGTCGAGTTAACTCTTAGTCGAGCTGCGACAATATCGTCGCAGATTATCATCCACGGAGACTGACGGGAAACACGGAGATGACGGAAATCACTGACACGAAGACGCAAGTCCTGAATGCGAGGCAGGAAATGAATCAGGGAGCTAACACCAGCATATACTGCCCTGCCACTGCGGTACGCCCCACAAAATATGTCGACGAGCACAATTTTCGCCATTCGGCGGAGTGCGTTTCACTACGGTTTAGAAGCAGCGGCCGAAAGCCTCGGGGTAGGCTATGTCGACGGTCGTCCGCACCCACACCTGCTCGCCGCCCTTGCAACGGCCACGGCGCTCCTGCGACAAGAGGATCTCGTTAGGAAAACACAGTAGCGCGCGGAGAAATGGCTTGGTGAAAAGTGATGATTTGGAATGCGAATATGGCATCGCGAGTGAATCGACGGGTCGAGCTATATTTGTAGCGTTATGAAATGGGACGAGCCGATGGGACTGTCGTGTAGAACTCGTCAGAAAGGAAAAACGAGCCGTTGGTGACAGCGGCTCGGCATCGCGGGTGGGCTCTTTCAGTTGCAATGACGCGTCTGATTTGTCGACCCATTTGCGAAATGCAAGAAAAAAAAAGGAGGAACTTGCTCGACAGAGGTCGAATCTTCGAGTTGCGTGGATGCTTTTAGTAGCTATGAATTAACGCCCTGACTAATTTACCGCAAATCGTGCCAGTCACGACGATGGAAACGGGGCATCGTGAGAGGCGGGGGTGTGTGAGAACGATGCTCTTGTGATTTCGTTGTTCTGATTTTAAACTTAGGATGGCGGGTGTGCTGTGTCACTCGAGGGGCCCGTTCCGTGTGGCTCGTCCTATTCGTGTGGCCGTTGTTAGTTCCATGCACCTGTTTTGAATCTCCGCTTGTGTGGTTTGGTAACCACACGATGGAATGTCTGATGTGGGGTCGGCGAACAACGCCTGGCTGATAACGAGCTTGTACCCCACAGGTGCAGACTACACGTGGCAGTGTGAATCTGCCCAAATGTCTGTTACACGCACGATGAACCTCGCTTAGGTGGCGGGGCAGTCGGGCGAATGCGTTGACGAAACCACTACGTTTCGTCCTTACATTTCGCCTACCTGACTTGTGGCCTAAAAACAAGGCAAACCAGGGTCGGCCTGCCTTGTTCGGGACTGCACGTGCGTTGGTGGCCGCAGCGCGTGTACTGTAGCCAGCCATCCAGGTGCTTGTACTGTGGGAGCAGCAAGGGGTTTCGACCTCGGGTGCAGCGTTTCCATCCGGTGCATGGCAAATTCGCGTGCACTGGTCGGGCATCTATTGTACGCAATTGTGGTTTCCCCTCAGCTCAGCCCAACACACCCCCTCCGCTCCGCGAGAATGGTCCGGACGACTCCGGTCTGGTGGTGTTGTGTGGTGGCCCCTCCGCGCTTGCGCCCCCCCGCGTCGTGCTGCCGCATGCTTGTACATGCCATGAACAAAGTGCCCAGCCAAACCTTTTGAGTACATTGCGTGCTGCCAGTAGATCAGTTTCTCCGTTGCTGCCCCGACACCGTCGTCCCTCTACCTCCTCCTAACACCACCTCTCCTTTCCCACTCCATCGTTTCCAATGGCGGGGAACCTGCCGTTCTTGCCGCCGCCGAAGACGGCGCCGAGCGCGGAGCCGGTGTGCGTGTTCGGCGAGGAGTATTGCCTGCCGTACGAGACGACGCTGCTGGTGCGCTCGCGCAGGTGGAAAATGTCGGACGAGTTCGAGGTCACGGACGTCGAGGGCCGCACGCACTTCAAGGTGGAGGACAAGTGAGTGGCTGTCGCGAACGAGGGGCTGTAGCGCAGGAGTGGCTGTAGCGCGGCATGACCTCCCAGGCGATTCACGGTGCAATGTGGCCGCCGCCGTTTGTGCTCCCCCTCTCCCTCCGCACCATATCTTCCGCAACCGCGCCCTCCTCTCCCCGCCTTCCCCCGAACCATCCTCCTCCTATCAGTGGACATCGTAGCAAGGAATGCTCACTCCTCCCATCAGTCACATTGCTCCTATTTATCCAACCAGACATTGCCATCCATCCACAGTCACGCTAATGAGTGGACGAGGCACGACCGCCGCCGCCCACGCGATTCACGAGGCAATGCTGGCGTCCGTGTGCTCTCCCGGTCCCGTTCCTCCCATATCCTCCGCACGCGCCCTCTCCTCCCCCCGCCCCTCCTTCGCCGCACTATCCATTCGCTCTTTTGATGCGCCTCTGAAGCCCCCCGAACCATTTCTTCGCTCCCGCACCCGCCCTCCCCGCCACCCCCTCCCCCCCTCCCCCCCCAGGCTGATGGAGTGGCGCGGCAAGAGGACGCTGGTGAACAGGGAGGCGGTTGGCGTGTGAGGCGCCTCCCTTTCAAGACATCCTTTCCCCTCCCCATACTTCCGTTCCCCCCATTGTTCGTGCAGGTTGTTGGAGTGGCGCGACAAAACTTTTGCAGTGCGGGCGACTTTTGAGGCGCCTCAAAACTCCTCCGAACCATCCCTGGACTCTTCCCCCCACCTATCCCCCCCCTTTCCCCCACCTTTCCCCGTGCAGGATCATGGAGTGGCGCGACAAGAAGACGCTGGTGAACAGCGCGGGCGAGGCGGTGTGCACGGCGGTGGAGAAGGCGCTCACGCTGCACAGCGGCACGCTCATGATGCGCGGCCGCGACTCCAACACGGACCACTTCGTTGTGCGCACGCGCAAGGTCTCCCACTCGCACCCGCGCATGGAGGTGCGTAGAGCAGGGCCGGCCTGAGAAATGCATGGGGTTGGAGGGTGGTCAGGATTGGTGGGGTGTGGTGACCTTTGAAGCGCCTCAAAAGGGACGACTCCAACACGGACCTCTTTGTTGTGCGCACGTGCAAGGTCTCCCACTCGCACCCGCGCATGGAGGTGTGTAGAGCGTGAGAAATGCATGGGGGTGGAGGGGTGGAGGGTGGTTAGGAGTGGAAGGGTGTGGTGACTTTTAAGACCAACACGGGTCCCTTCGTTGTGCGCACGCGCAAGGAGTCCTTGGCACGCCCCAAGATGGAGGAGAGTTGAGCAGGGCCCGCTAGGGAAACACATGGGGTTGGAGTGGATGGTGGAGGGTGGTGAGGGGTAGTGGGGGGTAGTGGGGGGTAGTGGGGGGTAGTGCAGGGTTGCAGGGTTGAGGAGTGCGCTGTGCTCCTGATGAAGCAGGTGAAGGTTCCTGGCATGGAGTGGAGGAGACACGGGCAATGTCTAGACGGCATTACTCCAGCAGGGGACTAAAGGGCCTGCTCGCAGAATTAAAGTGCACACATAGCCAGCATAGTGCACGTTTCCTATAATGGTCCATGTGGTAATGAATACCACACCAGTCCACACCACATCACACCACTCATCCTTCTCCGCATTCCTCTTCCCTACCTCGTTCCCCCCTTCCCTCCCTCCCCCCCACTTTCCTGTCTCTCCATGCAATCATCATGGCAGATATACCTGAAGGAGAACAACACAAGTGTGCCAGACCTCGTTGCATATGGCAACTTCAAGAAGCTTGATTTCAAGGTACAATGCGTTCCATCCACTTCGCTTTGGGACATTGCTTGCCACAGAAGCACCTCCTCCCCCCCATCACCTCTTACCCCTTCCCCAAACCTATACTCTGCTTTGTTCCGTACTACTTGCTTGCTCCATACTCCCCAAGCCCCTTTCTCCCTACTTGCTCTGCAATTGCTCACCCACATGCACTTGCCTTCATGCCTGTCCACCTTCTGTGTCCATTCCCCCGAGCCTTTCGTGTTTCCCCTCGTCGTCCCTCCGCCTCTCCTCAACGTTTTCCCGCATCACCATTCCCCACCCCTCAGGTGTTCAACCCAAGGCGGGTGGCGGTGGCGGAGGTGAGGATGGACCCCTTTGGCCCGCGCTCGCACCACTCACTGTTGCTGGACGTGAAGCCACAGGTAGACATGGCTCTCATGGTCATGGTCCTTGTCATGGTCACTGAAACCATGATTCCTCCGCCCTCACCGCCCTCGCCAAACAACAATTGACCACTCTAGTTGCCACTGCCATGCGTCTCTTCCAGTGCAGAGCTTGTTGCATTCATGGATTATCAGAAGGATAGCGTACATTGAAGGCGTTATGGTTGAATCAAATTCTGATTTAGTACAATTCTAATGTGACCAGTATGTGTTCTATGTGAAGTGTCAGGCAGCATTTGCAGAACCATGTGTTGCTATAAGCGAGAATGTACATTTGCTGTGATGTTTGAAGTGTCAGCTTTATGTGGAACCACTTCAATGTGTGAACTGAAACAACATTTGAACCACTAGTGAGAGCCACTGCCGAGGAGTTTTAGGGGGCCACTGCACGTTGTGTCCCAAGTCTCGTTTTCTGAGGTATACCTTGGTACCTATGATAAGCTCATTATTTTTTATTTTGCTCACTCTTTGTCACAACTCATCGAACGTGTACAGTTCAGATACTATCAAAGGCTTCCCGAACGTGCAACGGTCGAAACCGATTGCCCTTCTTGCCGAGACGTTTTCCCGCCAAACCATGCTCAAGGGCGACCAGCCAGCCGGACCACTCCAACAACCTCCTGCCCTCCCCTCGCTTCAGCAACAGAAGCTCGATAGTATCCCCCGCTGTCGTTCCTTCGGCAACATCCAGAAATTCTTTCCTTGATTTTGGTTTCCGAGAGACCACCAACACCTTTTCGCTGACATACCTCAGCCTTGGAGTTCCCTTCCTCCCTGGCAGTCTAATCGCAGGTGAGGGACCCTCTGCTAGTGCGTTCGTTGTTAGTGCAGGTCGTTTGATTCCTGGGTCTCTAACCAGGTGTCATGGAATCCACCAGCTGAATGATGAATGCTAATTCGCTTCTGCTTGACAGGACAGGTCTGAAGACCTGTAACTAGCACTAGTCGTGGTTCTCCTGAAGCTCCAACACTGCAATTCTCCACTTGTCGAGTTCCCAAGCCCAGGCGGGGGTAAAAAGCATATCCTACTCGCGAATTCTTTTACTTCCACCCAGTCTGTTGCCCCACTATGGCATCAGCACCGGCGGCCGCGCGCCTGCGCGAGCTGCAATCGCAGCCGGGTAACAAGATCTGTGTGGATTGCAGCCAGAAGAACCCGCAATGGGCATCCGTCAGCTACGGCATCTTCATGTGCCTCGAGTGTTCCGGCCGGCATCGCGGGCTCGGCGTGCACATCAGCTTCGTGCGATCCGTCACCATGGATTCCTGGTCCGAGATCCAACTCAAGAAGATGGAATCCGGCGGCAATCTCGCGCTGAATGAATTCCTTTCTCGGTACGGCGTGCCTAAGGAAACCGACATCGCAGTTAAGTACAACACCCCCGCCGCGGAAGCCTACCGGTCCAAGATTCAAGCCATGGCGGAAGGCCGATCCTGGACGGCTCCTAACATTGAAAAGGTTTCCTTGTCGGGCACGGGTGGAGGGAGCCGTCCGACTGCTAGAGCAAGCCCAGGTGGATTCGGCTCCAGCGACGGCTGGGATGACTGGGGCGACGGCAGCTCTGGCAGCCAAGCGGGCATGCGCAGGCACCAGTCCGAGAATAGTATTACTTCTGGACACGGCGCGAGCGGCCGACGGAGCAATCTGGCAGCCGCCGGTGGCGGAGGCGGCGGCGGCGGTGGTGGCCATGGAATGGGTCATCATTCCGGCTCCACCAATGAGATTTACTCGCGGGAGCAGCTGGAGGCGTCGGCGGCGGGGAAGGAGTCGTTCTTCGCGCGGAAGCAGGCGGAGAACGCATCGAGGCCGGAGGGCCTTCCGCCGAGCCAGGGAGGCAAGTACGTGGGATTCGGCAGTGCGCCCGTTAACCGGCCCGCTAATCGAGGCGGCGAGGACGTTATTGAAGATACCGTCAAGATCGTCTCCGAGGTAACCAGTCGAATCTTAGTGTGGCTTGAGTGTGCGAGTCCACCTTTGTCTCATCTCGGCACTCCCTGCCACGGCGTTGTATTCGTTCCGTCGCTTTCCGCTTGCGCATTTCCCACTCCATCCTCTGTCGTCTCGAAGTGCCACCTCCACACCTTTATTGACGTGCGTTTCTGCACAACCCGCCATTCGTTCTGTTTTCTCTGTCTGGTTCCCCACGGCGGCTGATCGCCATGCGTGTTCGCCCTAACTCCAGAGCTTCCGTTCTCTCTCGATGGCGGCTGTGGGGGTGGCAAGCTCAGCCGCGGCGGTGGTCCAGGAAGGAACCAAGGACATCCACGCAGGGGTAAGAGTCTTGTTCCGAACGTAGCATTATGTGAGGCCGTGTCATGTCGGTGCGGAAGCAGTCTCTCTCGCTGCTCGAAGAGCAACAATAAAATGGCAACCAATTGTTCTCAGCGAGGCATACCATACACTATATAAAAAAAACACAGCGAGGGAATGAAGAACCGCGTATGTTCACGTTGCGTTAGCCCCTTGCAGTGCAACAGCCTGAAGACAAATCAGGTCAGCCTTGCACCCCCCGTCTTACCCTATGGCCGCAACATAACAGGTCACGGAAGGTGGCTTGGACAAGAAGGCCATCGAGACCGCGTCCGTGGTGGCAGGGCGTGCGACTGAGATCGGGAAGTCAGCGTGGGGCTTCATGCGTGCCTTTACAGAGCGGGCTGTGCAAACCGTGGATGGTTACTCGGGCGGTGCTGTGGGGAACGCACTTGAGGTGGCAGCTGCAGCCAGCGCAAACGCTGGCAGCATGATAGTCCAGGGCCTTACTGGTGCGGCTGTGAGCGAAGGTGGTGCTGGCGGTGCTGGCGGCGCTGTGGGAGGGAACCGGGGAGGAGGTGGCTTTGACGACTGGGATGATTGGGGAGATGATAACAAGGGGCAGTCAGGTCAGGCTGGCAGCGGCAGGTATAATGGGAGCGAGGGGGACGGATTTGGGCAGGGGAGGAGCAGTAGCACTAAGGATGACAAGCCGTTCACTGGTTGGGATGATGAGTGGGATGGTGTGAGCCCTAAGGCTAACAGGGGGCAGGGAAACATGGCCAGCAGCAGCAGTAATGGTGGGAGCCGCGCATCTGGAGGAACTGGTGCACAAAAGAAGCAGGCAGCGGCAGCAGCAGCAACAGAGACTGAGTCAGACTCATGGGGTGGATGGGATGATGTGCCATCGCCTGCTCCTGCCAGCACTGCCACTGCTGGTGCAGCAAAGAAAGGGGGTGCTGCCAAGAAAAAGGATGACTGGGATGATTGGGGAGGATTTTAAGGTTCCAATCCAAGCACTCTGCCGTGGAAGAGAGAAGGGTGAGGTGGTGGTACAGATTCGATTGAAGCCAGCCAGAAGGATACAGGAGTGAGAAGCTGTACTCCACCTTGGCGGACGATGATGAATCAGAACAAGGGCAGAGGGGAGCTGTCGGGCTTTGAACACAAACTGAGTGCAGGGAAACAGTGCTCTTGGGGAGTGAGGTTTGGAGGCACCTGCAATGGAAGCTACAGCCCTAGTGGAGTTGGGAGGATGGTAATGGCACATGGGAAGAGGAGAGGGTGATACCTTAAGGTCCTAGTTAATTTGAAGTTGACAATCAATCCCAGTCAGGTCAGGTCTACTTTGCAGCTGTCAGTGCTACTGTTTTCCTAACGAGCTTTCGCCAAGGCCAACAAAGTTTCTATTATGCTCTGCAATATATCCATGGTTTTATTCACAAAATTTATGATATCACTGGGGCTAGGCATCTATTACTTCATAGTTCTAGCAGCTACGATAGCCAGTTACTTGTGGATGTTTTTTCTTTAGTTCTAGTGTTACCGTACCTCTGGTCTTTGGTTGGGTGGGTGAAAAATGGCAGTCACCAAGTAAATCTGGCTTCCCTAAGCTATTTTGAATATGTGGCGACCTACTAGCGGGTATTTTTCATTTCCCGCTTCAAGATGGTTGCGTCAGTTCCAAGCTAGCAGTGTTGAGAAATCTACGGTTCCGATTGTTCACACGTCAGCGAGACTCACCATTTCAACATAATCATGGAGCCAATTGGCGAATCGGTTGACAGGACATGACAGGAACCACAGAGAGAACGAGCTCTACCGAAGGCTGCTTTCCCTCGCTAACTTGGGACCTTCGAGAAAATGAACATGAGTGAACTTCACTCCTGCAGCTAGGTATTGAGTAGCTTATGCTCTGCCTTCTGCTTGACGACTGAGACTTCGTGGTGTTTCCTGTGCGGAGTTTAGTCGATGAGATGGTAGTTCGCGATGGAGCTTAGTGATATCAGTCGCGAACGGAAACCTCATTATATGCAAATCGCTTTGAAGCGATTTTTGTGTCAGGTTCGACGAAGCGGCAGGTGACACTAGCGAATATGCATGAATTGCAAAGGACGGCGATGCGAGTTGTTGAAAAACTGAAAAGCGAGTATCTGTCACAGCATTGCCAGTTATTCGCTGTAATTGGCGAATGTAGCGTAATTCGGGTAAGCGAGCGCACGTGACGTTCTCGAAGCTCTAGTGACGTCAGCCGAAGCTGTAGCTGATGGGATCAGGAGGCCCTGGGATTGAAAGCTACAATTGCTGGGGGGAAGGGGGAAAGGCATAAGGGAGAGGCATAGGGAAGAGGGATAAGAGAGAGAGGCTGGGGAGAACGTGAGAAGACGAGAAAGGGGAGGGAGGAGGGAGTGGTAGGAGAATTGGCCAGTGCCTGCCATTTGTCTCGCCCGTGCTGAACGGCTGTCAAGTCTCGTACGCTATGACTTCAAATCAATCTCCGCTACAACTGGCCGCGGGTGTAGCGAAGCACAGTCCTTTTCGTGCTTGTAACGGGTATGCGCGGGGACAGGCGGGTGGTGGTGGGGATGAAGTGGTTCGTCGCAGCACGGGGCTAGAGCAGGACGAGGAGCAGGAGGAAGAGTGGGACGAGGAGGGGGAGCAGGAGGAAGATGGGGAGGAGGATGAGGAAGACGAGGAAGGGGAGGAGGCTCTGGAGGTGTGTTCGCAGGCGGACGATGCGTGGTACGCTGCGCGGCTGTGGGTTCTACCTGCTGGGAAAAGAAGCAACGGAGCGGCATTGGGGACAGGCGGGGATGGAAGGAGAGGGCAGGGCGGTGGAGATACGGATGGCAGTGATAATGATGATGATGATGATAACCCAGACAGAGCTAGCCATGGCAATCACCATTCCAATCATCATAACCATTCCCGGAGGCTGATGGTGGAGTTTAAGGGGTTCAGCGGGGAGGAAGAGGTGCTGGCAGGCGAGCAGCAGGTGCGGGCGAGGGTGCGATTCGTGTCGCACCAGCTGCAGGACGCGCGGTGCAGGGCGGTGAAGCGTGGTGACAAGGTGTGCGCGTACCGCGTCAGTGGCGAGCAATGCACGTACTACGATGCCCGCGTGCTGCAGGTGGGGGCTCCCTTTGCACTCTCTCCCTTTGCACTCTCTCCCTTTGCACTCTCTCCCTTTGCACTCTCTCCCTTTGCACTCTCTCCCTTTGCACTCTCTCCCTTTGCACTCTCTCCCTTTGCACTCTCTCCCTTTGCACTCTCTCCCTTTGCACTCTCTCCCTTTGCACTCTCTCCCTTTGCACTCTCCTTTTGCACTCTCTCCCTTTGCACTCTCTCCCTTTGCACTCTCTCCCTTTGCACTCTCTCCCTTTGCACTCTCCCATTTGCACTCTCTCCCTTTGCACTCTCTCCCTTTGCACTCTCTCCCTTTGCACTCTCTCCCTTTGCACTCTCCTTTTGCACTCTCTCCCTTTGCACTCTCTCCCTTTGCACTCTCTCCCTTTGCACTCTCTCCCTTTGCACTCTCTCCCTTTGCACTCTCCCATTTGCACTCTCTCCCTTTGCACTCTCCCATTTGCACTCTCTCCCTTTGCACTCTCCCATTTGCACTCTTTCTCCTTCTCCCGCTCCTCTTCATCTTTGTCGTCGTTGCTGTCCTTGTCCTCCTCCTCCTCCTCCTCCTCCTCCTCCTCCTCCTCCTCCTCCTCCTCCTCCTCCTCCTCCTCCTCCTCCTCCTCCTCCTCCTCCTCCTCCTCCTCCTCGACCCAATGGTTCACCTGTCCTTCCATTCCCCCTTCCATTCCACCACCGCCACCCATCCCTCCCTCCCTCCCTCCCTCTGTCAACGCAGGTGATTCACCAGGAGCACACATGGGCGCACGGCAAGGAGGAGTGCACGTGCCACTTCTCCCTGCGCTGGCTCGCAGGCCCCGCCAAGGGCCAAGTAATGGAAGCAGGGTGCGCGCACATATGCACTCTCGACCCGCGCGATGTCGCCACCAGCCATCCCCTCATTGCCTGGTACATTCACTCCCAGGACCTCATGCCTCCCCCTGAGCGATTCATCCTTGCAAAGTCCAGGCAGGCCTGCTTAGTTCCCTCTCCACGTGTTGCTGCCGGGGGGTTTGGGGGGGTGGCTGCTGCTGCTGGGGCTAATGGTGGTCGTGGTGCTGGTGATGCTCGTGGGGTGGGGGATGGTGTCAAGGTTACTCGTAAGGGAGGTTCTTTCAAGGGTGCTGCGGGTGGTGCTGCGGGGGATGGTCTTTCTGCTGCGCCGCTGCTTGCACTGAGAGGAGCCGAGGCCGTGGTGGGGAAGAAAGAGCGGAAGCGCAAATGGGGTGGTGCTGCTGGTGCTGCTGGTGTTGATGCTGACAGCGAGGATGGGAACGAGAAAGACTCACGGAGTCGTATGAAGGAGAAGGTGAAGAAGAAGAGGAAGCTGTATCGAGGAGATGGGAATGGGGTACGGGCTGAGCGCAATGCTGGTAGACATGCCATGGTGGCCTATAGCGATAACCCACCACACAGAGAGGCAAGAGAGGCAAGAGAGGCAAGAGAGGCAAGAGGGGACAGAGATGAAAGAGTGGAAAGAACGGAAGCAGATAATGCAGGGATGCATTCAGTTCTGCCAACGCCATCGCCACTCACCCCTCTGCACCACGCTGCTGCTGTTGCCGCCTCACCGCTCACTCCAGTTGATCCTGCCCCCACACACATCCTTGCACTCCCTGCTGTCCGCCCCGCCCCACTCTCGCCAAAACCTCAGTTGTCAACGCCTCACACCTCGAAGCATCACTCCCCAACGCCTCACTCCTCAAAACCCCACTCGCCAGAACCTCACTCCCCTCAGCTTCGTGTGAGAAGGCATGAGCGCTCTCCTGTGGAGAGTCGTCCTGGCTCGAGGGTAGAGCGAGAGGAGGAGTGGGAGGGCTGGAGAGAAGGGGAGGGGGGTGGGCGGCGAGGCTCCGGGCAGGAGGAGGAGAGGAGGGAGCAGGGGGTGTCGAGAGGCGCTGGGATGAAGCGAAGTGAGTCTAGGGTTTCCTCTGTTGGTGCTCACACTGCCGCTGCTGATGGTGCTGTTGATGGTGGTGGTGTTGTTGTTGTTGTTGTTGGTGGTGGTGGTGGTGGTGGTGCTGCTGCTGCTGCTGCTGGTGGTGGTGGTGGGAACAGAGCAGCATGGATGGATGGGCATGGTGGGAGGTACGAGCACTCCCGACGTGCGATGCGAAGCCCGGAGGGTAATTTGGAGCAACGGGGATATGACACAGCACGGTACTGGTCGAGAAGCCCTTACACTGCCTCCCCCACTCCTCCCCACACTGCGTCCCCCACTCCTCCGCACACTGCTTCCCCCACTCCTCCCCACACTGCGTCCCCCACTCCTCCCCACACTGCGTCCCCCACTCCGCCTCATAGTGAGTTTCACAGTGAGAAACATAGTGGGCGGCGGCACAGTAACTGGTATGAAAGAGATGGTGAAAGGGCAAGGAGTGGAGATAGGGCAGCGGATGGCGGTGAGGAGATGTACGGGGCGAGGGAGAGGGATCATATGGGTGATTCTAGGAGGGGCTTGGGTAGAGATGGGTGGCATGGGAAGTCTCAGGATAGGCGTAAAGAGATGGGGATGGGGAGGGACGAGGGGTTGGATGGGGAATGGGGAAGGGCAATGAGAAGAGGGGATGATGTGGATGGGAGGAGGAGGCGGGAGGAGAGGGAGAGGCAGATGAGAGATGCTGGCGTGGAAGGGGAGAGAGAATATGGGCGAGAGAGGGAGAGTCATAAACATAGAAGCACGGATATGGGTAAGGACAGAAGCAAGCTTAGGGATAGGGTGGGTGGAAGGGAGAGAGAGAAATACAAGGAGAGGGGGGAGGCATTGCATGGGGAGAGGGAAAGGAAGTGGGAGATGGAGAGGAAAGGGGAGAGGGGGAGGGAGAGGGGGAGGGAGAGGGAGGGGGGGAGGGACAGGGACAGGGACAGGGATAGGGCGGTGGGGGAAATGCAGCATAGGCATGGGCGGGGGTGGGAAGCAGAGAGGGACGGCGAGGCAAGGGGTGGAAGCAACAAAAACGGCTCACACGACCACTTGGTAGAGAATGAGCATTTGGTAGAGAGAGGATTTGGAGTGGAAGGCCGATACGTACAAGAATGGGAGCGGAGTCATGGGAGGGGTGGGAGAGGGAAGGAGCGGTTGCATGAGGGCGAGTGGGGCAGCAGCCGCAGTGTAAGCAGGGATAGGGAGCGCGTGTTGGAGGGGCAGAGAGAGGGGCTGGTGGGTCCTGCAGGGGTGGAGGATGGAGAGGTGGAGAGGCGGAGTAGGAGCAGGGAACGGGAGGGTGGGGGCAGGGAACGGGAGGGTGGGTGCAGGGAAAGGGAGAGAGGAGGCAGGGAATGGGAGAGAGAGGGCAGGGAAGGGGAGAGAAGGCGGAGGGAATGGGAGAGCGGGGGTGGGGAGTGGGAGCGAGAGGGGCGGGGAAGGATTGAGGAGGGGGAGGAGGAAAGGCATGGTGAGTGGGAGCGGGGCAGAAGCTTCAGCAGAGAGCACTCAGCTGAGGAGCGGAACAGGAGAGGGGATGATCATGATGGTGGGGCTTTAAGAGGGGCTGGTGCACATGGCCATGGGCTGGCAGGGGATTTGCAGGGGAGAGGGGAGAGGAGAAGAGGCGAGGGAGAAGGGGGTAGAGAGGGTGGGGGGCGACAAGTAGGAGGTTCAGCGGGTGGAGAGGGGGGGGGAAGCAGAGGGGAGGCAGGGCGAGGAGGGGGAGAAGGTAGTGGGTATGGGGCGCATGGGAATGGAATCAGCGGAAGAGGAGGAGGAGGAGGAGGAGGAGGAGGAGGTGGCAGTGGTGGTGATGGGGATGGGGATGGGGAGGATGGTAGGCAGTGGAGGAGGGAGAAGGAACACACAGTCCCTGTTGCTACGACCCGTGCTGCTGGAACACCACCCGCTGCTGATACCGCTGCTGCTAGCACCAGCGGTCATGGCGCTGCTGCTGCTGCTGCTGTTGCTGCTGCTGGTGACATCCACACAGGTGGTACCCACACTGGTGCTGTTGAAAATGGAGGATCAGGGCCAAAAGAGCCTCATCCCGCGCCTGCTCCTGCCTTCACCTCTCATGCGCCTTCCTCCACCTGGGACGGGCGGCAGCAACGAGGCAGAAGCGCGGTCGTTAGAGGGGGCCGTGCAGTGGCTGTCCGGGGTGGGATTCCTGGGAGAATGGAGGTTCAGGGCCGTGCAGTGGCCGTCCGGGGAGGGGTTCCTGAAAATCCCCAAAGATCGCTCCCAAGAGTCGTTAGAGGCGGTGGTAGTGGTAGTGGTAGTGGTAGTGGTGGTGGTGGTGGTGGTGGTGGTGGTGGTGGTGGTGGTGGTGGTGGTGGTGGTGGTGGTGGTGGTGGTGGTGGTGGTGGTGGTGGTGGTGGTGGTGGTGGTGGTGGTGGTGGTGGTGGTGGTGGTGGTGGTGGTGGTGGTGGTGGTGGTGGTAGAGTTTTGGAGGCGGCATTGAGTAGCAGCAGTCGTGTTTCTTCTTCTCAGCTACCGTTCCCGCACCCACGGCAACTTCGAGTCCTCCCATGTGAATGGACGTTCGAACGTGACATTTTGATGCATTTCGCTATAAATGCGACATTTTTCTCGCACATGTGGCTATGACTACTATAGTAGGACCAGAATTTTCCTACTAGGCATGTCGCTATAGTCTATACTATAACCTATATTACCTATAGCTCACCCCCCGGTGGCACGTTGTTGTCATGTTCAGGATAGCTTCATGATGAGCTTGTCAATCATGAGTTCATCAAGTTCATGAGCTTATCAATCATGAGTTCATACAGTTCATGAGCTTATCAATGAGTTCATAAAGTTCGTGAGCTTATCAATCATGGGTTCATAAAGTTCGTGAGCTTATCAATCATGAATTCATAATGTTCACGAAGTTCATAATCTGTTCGTCCGTCCAATCCTCGCCGTCTTTCCAGGGTTAGACGGCGCGCGTGCGCAACCATGGCGGTGACAGAAGGGTGCGGGGAGAGTGACGCGTCGAAACGAGGGACGCGGAGCAATGAGGGAGCAGAAACGCAGGGGAAGAGGGGATGGGGAGGCCGGTCGAGGAATCCGCGCGGGAAGTCGACATCATCTTTACCATTATCCGTATCACCGTCCGCAGCAGCAGGAGCAAGAGCAGCAGGAGCAGCAGCACCACCATCATCACGGCACTTCACATCATCAGCACACCATGCCGCGCATGTGCTGCGTGCTCTCTTCATCGTCTCTCTTCTCCTGGCGCCACCCACTGGGCCGTGGCTCCTCTCCCCCTCTCCCGCGGAAACGCTCCCACGCTACTCGCTGACAGCCAGCGCCGACAATCCCCTCCCCATTTTCCTCGACGAAAGTCCCCAGTGTAAGCGACCGAGCGAATTGGGTGGCGAGCCTGTTCCGTGTTCCGTGTTCCGAGTGAAGTGAACTGCGTTCCGTGTTCCGTCCGTGTGAGGCACGTGACACGTTCGGAGGCACGGCTGAGAAGCCACACAAGCACAGCACAGCACAGCACAGCACAGCACAGCACAGCACAGCGCAGCACAGCACAGCACAGCACAGCACACACGGCATCTCTGTCTGTGTGCGAGTGTCAAACCTGCAGCTGTCGCATCGCATCTGCCAATCTGACACGCCATTGTCACGGCGATGCCGCTCGCTGCTTCCTGAGCATCCCTGCACTGCACTGCATCGCACTGCACTGCACTGCACTGCACGGCGCATGCATCATCCACCCAGCATGGTTGCCTTGAAGCCGCAGCAGCATCACCATGCATGCACGCACCGACTCGATCCAGGCCGGTTATTGCACCGCACCAGAATGAAATAGCAGGCTGGCAATTCGCTGCACGGTCTTACTACCACCCACCCCGTCGCATCTCGATGTTTTGCCTCTCATTGCAGCGAAACTCTTTCCACTCTCTGTCTGTTGCTGTCTGCCGCAGATGGCATGGTGGACGAGTTTGTTACGAACATGCACGGCTTTGCTGAGGAGATGAATTGGACCAGGAGTAATAAGGACTGTAGGGACTGGCAGTGGAGGGAGACGGCTGGTCTCATATGCGACTCCTCCGGCAACGTCACAGCAATGTATTGATCAGTTTTTCCCCAAGTCTTGTTTTTGAGTCGACTCGAAACCTGTTATTGATTTGGCTTAAAAACAGGCTACGTCACAGCAATGTACTGTTCCGTTCTCCTCCTAGTCTTGTGTCTATCGTCTCTCGTGTGTGCAGCACACCCATGCACACAAGCAATCGTGCCCACGCGTTCATACCCACAGACACGTGTGTGCTGTGTCGTCCACTCAGGAATGCTCACACACACCTTGCTTGCCAATCCGTGCCCATGTATGATCTGACCCGCTCCCTCGCAGCTTCATCACTGAACTATCCTATGCCCTCCCGTCCGTACTTTACCAACTCACCAACTTGGAGCGCCTGTGAGTGGTTGGACGCTTGAATTGAATGCACCGTGATTGTTTTGAGACTCCTCTGATCTGATCTGATCTGATCTGATCTGATCTCCCGCGAACCGCACATGGGTTGAGTCATTTTACAGAATGCCCTGCGAACGGTACTTGGTTTGAGCGCAGCACAACTGGAGGGATGGTTTGCCTGCAGCTGTGCTGTGAGGATTTCAGAGCGAGTGATTGTGTGATAAAAGTAGTGTTTTGAGACGTGTCAAAACACTGATTGTGTGTGAGCTATTTGTTACTTGTGGATGCCCATGCTCTGGATATCTGTGCGTGACCTGTTTTGCAATTGTTATTGAGGTGAAGGAGGAGGAGGAGGAGGAGGAGGAGGAGGAGGAGGAGGAGGAGGAGGAGGAGGAGAGGAGGAGGAGGAAGAGGAGAAGGAGGAGGAGCATTGGAAGTGGGCCAGAGTGCTGGTTTGTTTGTGTCTGTCTGTTCCCCGTGCACGTTGCTGCAGATCATTGACGTGGACACCAAACACGGATCCAAACCTGTCGCCTGCCATTGCCGACCTCACCCGCCTCACCTCTCTGTAATAGCGTGGCGTGTGCATGCTGCATGCATGCAGTCGCAGCAGCGCGGTGCTTTTGAGAATTGTCAAGAGCACCCTTTCAACTTCCGCCTGGCTGGCCTGGCGCATAACAGCTGATGCATGCATGCACAGCAGATAGACGCGTGATGTGATCATGTGACGCCCAGTGCTGTGCTCACTCGCTCGCATGTGCATGCTTGCATGTCTGTCGATGCACGCCTGCATGTGGTGCCTGTCTCTGCTTGGCTGTATCTGCCACACAAGTGCACACACACACACGCACATGCACACACACTTGTACATGCGCGTGTGCGTGGGCACACACACACATGCATACACGCCCACACACGCATGCATTCACTCACTCTCTCTCTTACTCGCTCGCAGCCACATACACCTCTGTGTGTGCACAATCGCCTGCTTCTATTCTGTTCCAGCCTGCCTTGTGTGGCTCACCCTTTCCCTCCTTTACCCCATTGTTTCTTCAATGTCTACTCGTCCCCCCTCAAGCTCCCCTCGTCTCCGCCTCTCTCCACCACGCCACGCTCTTTCCACTGACAGCTCCTTGACACGCGCCCAACTGGGCACAACAATCCCAAGTGTCCTTTTCACATTGACCGCCCTCAACACTCTGTAAGCACCCCTTCCCCTTCAAGGTGTCCTTTTCAAAGAATATCCCTTTCAGTGACCGCCCTCAGCAGCAAAGGTTGTAAGCACCGTGTGCGTGTATTCCTCCTCGGAAGCCTCTGCCTGTCTGTCCCTCGCAATCAGGCGCCGCCCTTTCCAGCAGCATGTGCCTTATGCTGCTAGAATGGATTGGAGGCATTCCTGGGTAGTAGTAGCAACTTGCTAGCTACTAGCAAGCAGCATGACTTGCAGAGGTGCTGCAAGTGTTGGCACTAGGTACAATCAATGAACCCCTCTCCTCATGCCTTGACTTGAGGCACCTTCTCAAGCACTACTACGATTTGGTCTCCAGTTGACTTTTGAGTCGACTCAAAAGTCAGCTCACTTTTATTATCTCCTCTCCTCATGCCTTGCTAGCCTTCGGTAGTTTGCGGGTCAATCTTTCCTTCTTCCCCTCCTTGCCACGCTACTCTTGCTTCAGGAGCCTGCGGGATGTGGGACTCACGAGTGCCATTGCTCCAGAGTTCAGCAAGCTGAATCGACTCATTGACCTGTAAGCCCGCATTCATATTCATCCCAGAACGGCCTTCACTTGCGCACGCGCGCGCGCGTGTGCCTGTGTGTGTGTGCCTGTGTGTGTGTGCCTGTGTGTGTGTGCCTGTGTGTGTGTGCCTGTGTGTGTGTGCCTGTGTGTGTGTGCCTGTGTGTGTGCCTGTGTGTGTGTGTGCCTGTGTGTGTGTGCCTGTGTGTGTGTGCCTGTGTGTGTGTGCCTGTGTGTGTGTGCCTGTGTGTGTGTGCCTGTGTGCGCATGCGCGCACGCCATGCCATCCATGTCCATCCATCCACCAATGTACCGTGCCTGTGTACCTGCGGTGCCGCTTCCTTGTCTGCACTGCAACAGTGCTTGAGCCGCGGTATCATGCCTTGTCTCATTGCTGTCTCTCCATGCTGTCTCTCAATGCCATCTCTCCACATGCTATATCTCCCTCCCTACACCACCCTGTGTCTTCCCTTCCCTGCAAGTGACTTGTCATACAGCTCGCTTGCAGGCCCCCTCCCAACCGCCCTCTGTATCCCTCCTTCGCCACCCTGTGTCTTACCTTCAGTCACCCATCTCAATCATGCCATGTACCTTGGTCCTTCCCTCCCTACACCACCCTGTGTCTTCCCTTCCCTTCAAGTGACTTGTACTACAACTTGCTGGCAGGGCCCGTGCCAACCGCCCTCTGTATCCCTGCCCTCAAATTCTTGTAAGTACCGCCCACCCATGCACTCCCTCCTCTCCCCCATGTTCAATTCCCACGTAACCACCGGTGTTCGCCGTCTTTTGGGAATTTGCTTGGGAATTTGCTTGAGGTGCCTGCCTGCTCGGCTAGTCGGTTGGTTGGAAGCTGGATGCTTGAGACTCTTCGCATTCAGAGGCCTCAGATTGAGTAATTTCAAAATCTGTTTGAAATGCACGTTCCGTGCGTGCGTGCGTGTGTGTGTGCGTGCGTGTGTGCGTGCGTGAGCAGGGCCTTGAGCGTCAACCTCTTCACGTCCATCCACACTGCCGTCTCCGTCATGAAAAGCCTCAAAAGCCTCAGCGCTGGCTATGTGGCAAAAGACGCATCCTGCGTCTAAGACGAGTGCGTCCAGACGCAGCGTCTTAGACGCAGGACGCATGATGTGGGCCTTTGAGACGCAGCAAAAGACGCAGGCCCGGGCAGGGCAAAAAAAACCCCCGGGCAGCCAAAAAACACGTTATAGGGCATGGGAAGGGGGGGGAGGACGACGTATCACACATGTGAGGCAAAAAGATAGCTATGGAGCGAAAGGTAGCACTATGGAGCGAAATGTAGCTAAAACCCTCAAGGGTTTACGAAGGAGAATTGTGTGTGGGCTGTTTTTGATGGTAGAAATGGGTATGGGGGGTCGAAATTTCGCGACATTGACATTCGCGTCGAAATCGCGAATGTCATGTCAACTTCGCGATCGGGAAAAAAAAAAAACATTTCCGGTCAGCCCGAAAAAAAATATGCCGTGCGTCCTGCGTCTGGACGCGCGTCCAGCGTCCCTGCGTCCGGACGCTGCGTCCAGACGCAGGACGCATGACGCGCCCTGCGTCTTTTGCCACATACCTCCCTCCCTGCTTCAGCTTGGTTGTCCTGGCTGGTTGTGTAGTCGACTCACAACAAGTGGGCATCTCTCTGCAGTCCAGTGCAGTGCAGTGCAGTAGTGTGCAGCTGAGTGCAGTGCGGTGCAGTGCAGTCAGTCCATGAGCAGTACCAATTCCTTGTTCTTGACCTCTCATTCAGCAGCCTCGTCGGGTTTGCCGTCACACTTAATACCCTTTTGAACCTCGTTGTCCAACCAGACAGGATTTAGTTACTTTCTATGATCCCCGCAACTTCTGAATCCTGATGCCCACGCAGTCTTTCCTCCCCTCCCCTTCCCGCTCCCTGTCCCCGCTCCATACTCCTCCCTTTCGTAGACCAATATATTCTCAGCTGTTTTTGTGGAATCCTTTTTGTTGTCAGTCGCTTGGACCGCAACAGGCTCTCAGGGCCCATTCCACCTCAGATCAGTGTGATGAAAGACCTCTATAACCTGTGAGAACGCCTCCCTTATGTGTGTATGCACTGCACTGCACTGCACATGCATGCATGCATGCTTGCATTATGCTTGTTTTCTGACTGACATGTGGAGAAAGACGCGTCCTGCGTCTAGGACGCTTGCGTCCAGACGCAGCGTCTTAGACGCAGGACGCTAGAGGAGGGCCTTTAGGACGCATGAAAAGACGCATGCCCGGGCAGGGCAAAAAAAACCCCCGGGCAGCCGAAAAATGATGTTATAGGGTATTGGAAGGGGGGGGGGAACGACGATGCACACATTTGAGGCAAAATCGTCCCCTTCAAATTTTCAGGGTTTAGGGTTTACGAAGGAGAATGTCTTGGTAAACCCTCTAGGGTGTTTTTGATGGTCGAAATGGGTTAGGGGGGGTCGACATGACGCGAAATTGACAGTCGCGTCGAAATCGTTAAAGTAAGTTTCGCGCTGGGGCAATTTTTTTTCCCGGTCAGCCCGAAAAAAAAAACGGGGTGCGTCCTGCGTCTGGACGCGCGTCCTGCGTCTCTGCGTCTGGACGCTGCGTCCAGACGCAGGACGCAGCAAGACGCGTGCGTCTTTCTCCACATGCTTGCCTACTCACTGAGACGTGCTTGTCACATCACAGGGTCGTTGTTCAGCACGCATGAGTTTGTTACACTCACTCACAGTGTTTCTGTGTGTGGGCTTCGACCAAAAGGCTTAGCAGCACTTGCATACTGGCCTGTGCTTTCCCGCTCTTCCTACCCCACCTCCTTGTTGAATCTCCTTTCCTGCTCGGACACTTCCAACACTGGTGTGGTGGTGATGTCGTCTGTGCTCCTTTGCCCTGGCCTGCCAGGGAACTGCAAGAGAACGCACTCACAGGACCCATCCCCGCGCAACTCTCTTCCTTGCGCTCCTTGAATTACCTGTGAGAAAGCAACGCAACGCAGCGCAGTGCAGAGCAGCGCAACGCAACGCAACGCTGCCCTCTTGCTTTTGACGTGCCTCAACAACCGAGCACGTGTGAGAACGCTGCACTGTGTCTGTCATGTCATGTCGTGTCGTGCACCCAGTGTGAGAGACGGCACTGCCTCCAACTAGCTCTCAAGAATTCTTAAGAACCGGCAGTTAGTAATGCTCCACTCCACTACTTTCTCACATCACACGTGTCTGTCCGTGCCGTGCCTCCCTCCTGCACATGAGATGCTTGCACACCCTCACACATGCCATGTCTTGCTTGCACAGCTTTGCTTACTTACCTATTAGATTTGTCAAAGTAGCTAGCTGAATCGTCACAGTACAGCCCTGCAACGACGTTGTCAGCAAGCAACATTGTCAGCAAACGAGATTGTCAGCAAACGACATTGTCAGCAAATGGCATTGTCAGCAAATGGCATTGTCAGCAAATGGCATTGTCAGCAAATGGCATTGTCAGTGCTTTCTCAGTTGGTGGGCTGCTACCATATGTCTTTTGAGGCGCCTCAAAGGTCCACCATATTCATGTCCCAGCACAGCACGTGACTGCCGTTGGTTGGCATATGTTTGTGCCGTTTTTAGAATTGTCAAACGTGACTGTGCTGCTGGCGTGGCATGCGTGTTGCAGTCTGTTGCAACTCAACAAGCTATCGGGTTCGCTTCCAACATTTCCACCACTCCTGAAGACAATGTGAGAGCCAACCTCTCTCTCCTCCCTTCCTACAAGCCCACAGCTCACTCACCATACTTCCCCTCCACGACCATCATTCTCTCCCCTCCCACAACCTCATCTGACTTCATCTGACCTCATCTGACCTCATCCGACCTCCTCTGACCTCCTCTGACCTCCTCTGACCCCTTTTGACCGAACATTGAGAATCTACATTTCTGCTGAAATTTCTTTGGTTATTTTTTCTGTACGAACTTGAGGTGGAGTTGATTGATTGGGTTGGGTACTGGTAAAGCTCCAGGCTCTTGGAGTTGATTGATTGGGATTTAGTTGGAAAGGAAGGGTATGGAAAGCTAAGCATTTCCCAATTAGAGAAGCTGAAGGGTTGAATTGGTGGGTTGAGATTTCGGTTCATCACATTTGGTAACGCTTGCTCTAAACTATGAGACTGAAAAATACAAGTACACGATGTGAGATTTGAGTCCACCGCTAACAGCTATTACATGCCTTTGCCCTCTACTGCAGCAATCTGATGAGCAACCAGCTGGAGGGAAGTGTCCCAAAGTTCACTTCTCAGAAATACCTCCTAGAGCTGTAAGCTGCTGCTGCTCCTCCTCCTCCTCCTCCTCCTCCTCCTCCTCCTCCTCCTCCTCCTCCTCCTCCTCCTCCTCCTCCTCCTCCTCCTCCTCCTCCTCCTCCTCCTCCTCCTGGCAGTCCAGCCTGGCCAGTGCTCATCTCCACGCACGTCCTTTTCTCCCTGCTCGTCTCATCTCTATGCATTGTGGACTCCTTACCTACCCCTATCAACCACGAACCTGATAACGTGTCTGAGTCGACGTGACTGTCGAAACGATTTGCTTGTTGTTTCCATGCACTGCGGAACAGAACCTGTACCCGACGTACCAAGCCCTCCATCCAGGAACCTGGAAGTCTTCTGAGTTGACGTGACTTCCTGGCAATTCTGAGTCTCAGCTGTCGGTTCCATGCGCTGCGCTGCGGGCCCCGTACCGTACCGTACCGCACCTACCTCTCTCATGCAGGAACCTGGACAACAACAGGCTCACGGGATCGGTGCCTTTTGGTTTCAGCGCTTCCATTGAGAGAATGTCAGTCACTCGTGTGCCTTGTTTCGCTGTGCTGTGTGCTGTGCTGTGCTTGTTCTGAAGTTTTTTTTGTTTGGATTGAGTCATGCCTAGGTTTGGATGGGGTTCCAGCTTGCTGCTGTTTGATCATGTCTTCCTGTGTTTGCGTATGTTCGTGTGCGTGATTGTGCGTGCGTGCGTGACGTATGTGTGTGGGGAGGGGGGCGTTGCGTTCGTGCATGTGTGTGTGTGCTGGAGGGTGGAGTTGGCGAAGGAGGAGGGGGCATCTGGGCGTTTGCGTGTGTGCTGGCACATGTGTTGAGGATTGAGGTGCGGGGCGTGTGATGTGTGGATTGAGGCCAGTTCATTGCGCAACAACCGACTCTCTGGCAGGATTCCTCCCAGCTTCTTCAAAGACAATCAGGCTGCGCAGTAAGCCCCACTATCCTGGCCTCAACACACACATGATGATGGCAACAATATGCCATCATATCACTCATCCACATGTTTCATTGGATCCATGTCAGTGCGTGCGTGCATGCACCATCATGCCACCACCTCATCATGTCAACTCAAATAGTTCAACTTATCACATACGGGACTTCCATGATATTGGGATCACTTTTGAGAATTCTCAAAAGCCACCACACAACTGCACTGCATCATTATGTCAACTCAACACCTCTCATCATCTCCTCTTTGCTCCGTCCTTTCTCCTCCTCTTTGCTCCGTCCTTTCTCCTCCTCTTTGCTCCGTCCTTTCTTCTCCTCTTTGCTCCGTCCTTTCTCCTCCTCTTTGCTCCGTCCTTTCTCCTCCTCTTCGCTCCGTCCTTTCTCCTCCACTTTGCTCCGTCCTTTCTCCTCCTCTTTGCTCCGTCCTTTATCCTCCTCTTGTCCTCATACTTCCTGTCAAGATTGTGCGGCACTGTTTCCCTTCCATCCGTGCCTTTCACCTCTCCTCTCCCCCTTGCCTTTGCTGCTTTAACATAATCAACATAATTAACATCATCAACATCCTCAGAACACTGTCCTTCATTCATGCCATACTGGTCTCGTCGCCATGTGCTTCCTCCGTGCGTGCTTCCTCTCCTCTCCTCTCAGCACCTCGCCTCATCACCATCTCTCTTCCTCTCTCAACACCCTTTTCTTCTCAACACCATCCCACTTTGCGTATCCACTGCTTGTTCCTTTTCTCGCAATCTCAGGAAAGTAGCGGGAAACAGTGTGCAAGCATCCCAACTCATCACCATCCAAGCACTGGGAGACCTCACCTATCTGTGCGTATCCCACCGACCTGACCAGCACCGTTCGGTACCTGTCAATACCGGTCACTGCCGTTCTGTACAGATTCGCACCGGTGGTTAGCACCACATGTGCACTATCTACTACTCGCCATTGTTCGTTGCATATGTTGTAACTTGCATGTGCAATGTGTTGTACCCACGTTTTCAAGTGTTCCTAGCACTGGGATGCAAAGCTCTGCCTCTCTCTGTACAACAGAACAAGTGTTTCACCCACTATCAGCACTTGCCATCTGTTCTCCCCAACGCAAAGCAGTGACCTCAGCTCCAACTCGCTTGAAGGAAACATCCCCGATCAGATCTCCGAGCTCACGAGACTCTATGTCCTGTAAGCACTCTGCTAACCACCTCCTCTATGGCAATGGGAGTCACTTCTGAGATTTCTCAAAAGTGACTCGCCAATGCAATGCCTCTTGCTTTGTAACGCCGTAATGTGGTGTATGGGGTGAGGAGGAAGGGTGGAAAGGTACGCGCAGGTATGCCTCTCGCTCCTTCCTTTCCCGCTCAACCTTCTCAGCATCAACGCAGGCTTCCACCAACGGCTTTTGGCTTTGAGAATTCTCAGGAGTCAGGACTGTATGCACTCTATATTGGTATGACTTTTGAGAATTCTCAAAAGAATTCTCAGGGGTCAGGACTGTACGCACTCTGTGACTTCTTCACATGCAGGGTTCATATCAATCAAGCGCTTGCTGTGATGCCTGCTATCTGTGTTTCCCAACGCAGTGACCTTAGCTCCAACTCCCTTGATGGAACCATCCCCAATAAGATGTCCACGGTCACGCAACTCATGACCCTGTAAGCACTGTGCTACCCATACCCGCCTCTTCGTTCCACCCCAAGTCATTGCCTCCTCCTTTGTAATATGGCGGTGGGAGGGGGGTATGCAGACAAGGGTCCTCTCCTCTCGAATGGCCCTCTCTTTCTCTCTCAATTTTTTGAGCATGATCGGATTGCTTCAACCAACAGGAGTGCCCGCACCCAGACCTGGAATTTTGTCTATCAATCAAACGCTCGGCATGATGCCATGTGTATTCCCCAACGCAGCGACCTTAGCTCCAACTCCTTTTCTGGAAGCATCCCCGATTGGATATCCACGCTCACGTATCTAACTGTGCTGTAAGTGCTGCGCTTTTCTCGTCTCACTGTGCTGTCAGTACTGCACTTCGCAGCACATCTGTCTTCCTCTTCCCTGACAGGTCGACCCTTTCCCGACTGACTGCTTGCTTGCTTGCATGATGCACCCAGATACAGCTCCTCGTCATCAAAAGTTTCTACCAATCAAAGCATGCCATTCGTACTTTGTACTTCCTTCGCCCCACCACGACATGGCAGTGACCTTAGCTACAACTCCCTCAATGGGACCATCCCGAGCGGAGTAGGCGAGCTCGGGTATCTCAATGTGATGTACGTATCCCTTCTCGCCTCCTCCTGTGCAACCCGCCGCACTGCTCCTTCCGTCTCCAGCCCTTTTTAACTCTACCTACCACTTCCTGGCGCTTTGCTCTTCCTTCTTCTGAATTTTCAAATTGCATTCAGAGTAGCGGTTCCACTTCCTCCTAAATCGCCGTGTGCTCAAGAAAAACCCACCCTCTCCCTCTGTGATGCACGCACCCTATGCGCCCATGCCAGGGACCTGAGCAACAATCAGCTGAGTGGGAGCATTCCGCAGAGCCTGTCTCGTCTCCGATACATGACAATGCTGTGAGTGACTTTTGGGGCAGGTCATTGCTTTGTAGTATCCATGCCTCAAGTCTTGTTGTCTCCGGCAACTGACTGTCCTTTGAGTGTGTCAATGCTTTGTTTGTGGAGCCCCCACACACCTCCACTCACTGGGATAAGTAAGTACTCTGTGTGTGTGCCTCAGTACGTTATGAAACGTTTAGTCCTGCAATGTCCTGTGCAGCAACAATGTGTTTATATGCGGTGCAGTAATGTGCTTATCTCTCTCTTCTCTGCCTAGAGCATCATCTGTTTGTTTCCACCAACCTGCATGCGTGCACCCGAATTCAACTCAGTGCATCGCCATACATGTCTGTGGTAACAATGTCATGCCATGTGTTCTCCCCAACGCAGTGACCTGAGCAACAACCTGCTTAATGGAACCATCCCCGATCAAATATCCGAGCTCCAGCAACTCAGTGTGCTGTAAGCACTGCGCCACTACCCACCTCCTCTGCCCTGCCCCAATGCTTTTCCTCTTCTCTCCCGAGAACGTTGCAATTTTGTGCTCATCTCTCGTTCCTCAGCCTCATTTGCTTGCATCCTCCTCTTTCCTCCTCCTCTTCCTCATCCCACTAATTGGCGGCTCATTGAATTAGCGAATACGGACCTGTTGCATTCAACTCTACATCTTGTGCTCCCTGTTCTATCACTCGTCTCAAAACTTCCCGTGTCTCTGTGTCTTACGGTCTGCTCTGCGCCCGTGGCAGTGACCTGAGCAACAATCGCCTGAGCGGGAGTGTGCCACACGGCTTGACCGGACTCACTCAACTGACAGTCCTGTGAGTCATCTTATGCGTTCTATTCCATGAGCCTCAGCTCACAGTCCTGTGCGTACCAGCATCTTTTGCGATATGCTGTTGCCGATGGTTGCACAATCATGCAAGTGTTACTGGATCGCACACTCAACTACAATTGGCTTGAAAGACTAGTGAACAACATGGTCTACAGTATGTGAGTGTCATTGGTTGTCTTGTCTGCTTCACCCACCTCCTAGTAGTGTACGGCGTGAGGAAGCGGTTCTTTGCACTGCACCGCTTTGGACCTTGATGCATCCAACTGAACCCTTACAATACGTACGTCCTGAGGAAGACCATGGAACTTCCAATTCAAGAGCTGAAAGCAAAGTCATACGCTCTAGGGACAATCCAACGCTCTCCATGCCATGGGCAATCACTATCACAACATTCATCCTTCTCACAATCACTTCCGTTTGCATTGTCTTCCCCTTTCCCTTCTGTCACTCTTCCTCATCCCTATCACTACACCCCCCCTTATCTCCACCGAGGCAGGAGCCTGCGCAACAACAGGCAGGAGCCTGTTTGCAGCAAACAGGCAGGAGCCTGTTTGCTGCAGCCCATCCCACCATCCGTCAAGCAGTACCAGCTAGACAGCAACTTCTTCTCCTGCGGCTTCTCCTCTCCGCCCGACTGCTCCCAGACTATCATAGCCGTGCAAGCTAACTGCCTGGGCGCCACCTACGTGCCGCCCTGCCCCATGGACCCACAGCGAGTGAAGGAGGTCTGTGCGTCCTTCTGCGGCCTCACTGCCACCTCACTTCCTTGTGCCGGGCACGGCACCTGCTTCTATTCTGGTCCCAACAAGATCCCCACGTGCGCCTGCAACACCGGGTACACCAACGGGGAGCTCCCAGGGACGTGCGTGGCAGTTGTTGCTGGTGGCGTGACTCCTGCAGACTTTTCCCTTCTGACCTCGATAAGCGTTGCTTCTGGCGATGGCGGCGGTGCGGCGATGGCGGTGAGCGGAGCAGCAGCAGTGCAGCCGGATAACAGTGTGGTGCTGACGAGCAACCAGCAGGCGGCGTGGGGAGCGGCGTTCCTGGTGTCGCGCGTGCGCCTCTTCTCCTATGCTGTCAAGAACCACTCATGCGGCCGCGAGATCGCCCTCAAGCTCTCCTTCTCCTTCTCCATCACCCCAGCCACCGGCAGCAACAACGTCGGCAAGGGCGGCCTCGCGTTTGTGATCGCAGCAAGGGACGAAATCCCTGGTGGGGACGGCAGCACACTGGGCTATTCCGGCATGAACGAGCGCAGCATCGCAGTGGAGTTTGACACGTTTCAGGATGCGAGCAGCAGCGACCCGGACAGCAGCCACGTGGGCATCAACATCGGTGGCTCTGTGGTGTCTATTTCTACAGCCGCTGTGCCAGGGCTTAACTCAGGGAGCACCAAATATGCATGGATTGATTACTCTCCGGGGAAAGGGGGCCTGCTTTCGGTGTATGTGGCCAGTTTGGCTACTCGCCCCGCCAAGCCGGTTCTCAAGCGCAGCGTGTCGCTGTGTGGCGTGCTGAAGCCCACGTTTGAGGATGCGACGTTTGTGGTTGGCTTCACTGCTGCCTCGTCTGATCCCCCCCAGAAGCACACGGTGCTGCAGTGGTCGCTGGATACAGGTAAGCGACGTCGGGCTTGGGATGGGATGGGATGGGATGGGATGGGATGGGATGCTGCCTGTCTGCTTGCCTGCCTGCCAAGAGTGTGTGCTTTTCGCCTCGCTCACTTTGCTGCTCCAGTAGGCCTGCTTGCTGCTGAAGTGTGCTCTTAGTGTTGCTCCAATCAGTAGACCAGCACTAGCGATGCCCGGTTGTTCCTGTAGACCAGCACTAGCAATGCCCGATTGATCCTAGGGAAGGGTTATTGACACGTTTGCCTGGAGGGTTAAGGACGCACTCACCCGCTACATAACAAGCCAATTTATCATAGTGGTATAGTGGTTGGGATTCTGACATGGTATCGGAACTTAGATCGCGGGTTCGAATCTCCATGTGTGCACATGTTGGTGCTGCTGCTGTGCCTTGTCCTTGAGCATCTCTGTGAAAAGGGGGGTTGTCAGAAGACCAGCACTGTAGATGCCCTATTGTTCCTTGGAAGTGTTACAGACACGTTTGTCTGGGGGTTATAGACGCATTCACCCGCTACTTAAGAAGCCCTTTGATCCCAGTGGTCTAGTGGTTGGGATTTTGACAGCTTTCCCCCCTCCCCTTCCGTTCCAAATTGTTGTGCACGTTATTTCTCAGCCTGTACTGCTTGAATGAAATTGGCCAGTCATTATTTTCCTTCTCCGCTTGTTCCTTTTCTCTTGCAGATTTTCCAACCCAGGACACCGTAACAGGTGCGGCACGCCATGTTGTAGCTAGCAATAAGTTATTCATGGTCCGAGCCAGTTCCTGCTATGTGTGTGCTGCATCAAGTTATCTCGCTTTGAACAAGCACGAGACTGCTATGCCTGGCTGACTGCGATCCACTCCAACACACCATCATCTTCTATACTTCACTTCACCCCTTCTATTTATCTCGTCTCATGCCGTAAGTGCACGAGTCCCTCCCTCCCCGCGATCCCTCCCCCATCCCTCTCCCATCTCTATCTCTCCCCCAACCACGTTCCCTCCGCCCTGCTTCCCCCACCGCAGCCCTGCCGCTGGGTTTCACGCTAGCAGAGGCCACGTTCACCACCTCAGGAGTCAACCTCTTCTTCCGCTATGCCAGTGCTGGCGCTCTGCAGCCGCCCGCAGGGGGAGCACCTGGGGCGAGCACGGACAAGGAGCAGCAGTGGGCAGTGGCAACGAACATGACATGGGTGCGCTCTGATCTGCTGCCCAGCTGGCCGGTGCGCAGCCAGGGTGGGTGTGGCGACTGCTGGGCTTACGCAGTCGTTGCCAGCATCGAAGCCGCGTATTCTATCCTCTCAGCCAACGGCTCGCTCTCTCTCTTCTCCGTTGACTCGCTTGTTGCCGACATGAAAGCGGATTGCTCCGGAGGTTCCCCCTCCAAGGCCTACCAGTACCTGCTTGCTGTTGCCAAGCGCGGCGGGGGGCTGGAGCCGGAACAGGCGGGAGGAGGAGCAAGGGTAAGGAAGGGCGGCAGGAGGGGTGCGACGGGTGTGGCTCTGGTGGCGGGAAGCGGCGGTGCGGTGGGGTTGCAGGGGAAACAGGGGACACCGACAGCAGCAGCAGCAGCAGCAGCGGGTCAGAATCCGAGTCCTCTGTGCTCGCCGCTGCTGAAGCCGATAGCAGCTCTGTTTGGAGTGAACTGCACACCACTCAAACAGAGAACCGGGTCTGTTGTGGTGAGTACAGTGCTCTGAGGCTCCTCATTGCCACTCTTTGCCACTCATTGCCACTCATTGCACGCCTTAATCACCTTGGGAGTTCAATATGGTCAAAAAAAAAAAAAAAAAAAAAAAAAAACACACACACACACACACACACACACACATGCACACACACACACAATCAAGCATCCATTCTTTCGCCTTCATCCTCCTCATATTGCACATGGTGCAATCCAAGCAGGTGCGCCCGGGCTACAGCATAACGGGCTTTGAGCGGGCGGCATTCTACAGCTGGTTCGGCCTGGTGCTGGCGGTGCAGCGGCAGCCCGTGGTGGTGCACATAGAGGCGTCTGCTGACTCTTTTCTCAACTACGATGGGGTGAGTCACGGCGTCTTTTGAGGCGCCTCAAAGTCAACTACGATGGGGTGAGTCCCTCAAAAGGGAGGGTGGGAAGATGGTGGGTGGGAGGATGTGAGAATGGGAGGGTGGGTGGGTGGGGTGATGGGTGTGTGGAAGGATGGGAGGGTGCAGGGTTGCAGCCTCCTGTTGGTACGCTACCTGATGCTGCAGTCAACTGCGATGCAGGGGCGGGTACTCTGAAAAACCTCTGCAAGCAAAGCCTACGTGGGAATCACTAGACTTCCTATGCAGCCCTCTCCTACACTCCTAGTCTGCTAGACTTTTCAGGTGCCTCAAGAACCCTTGTCTGCTGCTTGGCTTTTGAGACGCCTCAAAACTCCTTTGCTGCTGCGTTAAGAGACATGCGTTTCTCCACACCATCTCACGTACTACCTTTCCTCTGTTCAGCTGTCCAAGTACCAGGACCCGGCGTGCTTCACGTACAACCTGAACCACGTGGTGCTGCTGGTGGGGTACCGCCTGGTGGGGGCAGATGAAGCCTTCCCCCACATGGCGCCGCCCTTCTGGATCATCCGCAACTCATGGGGGCCTGACTGGGGCGATGGTGGCCACATGCGCATGGACATCCAGGGGGGGGATGGCGTGTGCGGCATCAACACTCTGCCTGGAATCTACCCCATCGTTCTTGGTATGGTGATGATGATGCTGTTGCTGCCAGAGAGTAGAGTTGAGATGTGATGTCGGGGCTTGCTGCTGCTGCCATGCATTTTCTGGGAGCGTGTTGCAGCACTCCTAAAACTCTTTTGAGATCCCCCAAAAGCGACTCAGCTTAATCCCAAATGTGGAACCAGTCTCCGCAATCGAAGAATGTTGGTGCAACAACACGAGCATGATTTGACTTCTCTTAGTGCCATCAAGTGTCTCTACCTCCAAACCTGCGAGAGAGCTAGCTCAAACTAAGCCACTTTGTATCGTGAGTGTGTGGCTGTGCATCTGTAGATGCTGCAGCACACCATTCTTCCTCTCTAAACCTCCTCTACCCTCCCCGCAATCCTCTGTGTGACCCGACCCAACCCCATCCTGACGCACCTCGCCCCACCCTCACCGAACCGCACTGCACCCAGACAAGCAGGACCCGTGCAACAACCGGGCGCACCACGATAACAGCGGCGCCGTGCTGAACCCGTGTGGCAAATTCACGTGCTCTCTCACAGCTGACGGCAAGTCCAACCGCTGCGACTGCAAGACTGCAGTCGATGGTCGATTCATAGAGGCTACCAACACTGATGGCTCGCGCACCTGTGCCTATGGTATGTGGCATGGCATGGCATGTATTCCAGCTCACATACT